CCACCCTCGTCTATCCAGTCCGCACAATACTGACGGGATGTAAGCACTGGCACTATACCGACAAGTAACCCCAAAATGTTATGCACCTCAAAAGCATTTATGGGCAGCAACTGATTGCCCTTGGGTTTTATGCCACATTTGTCAACCTCAAATTGTTCTATCAAGTAGTTGAAGAGTGGAGTCGACAAATGCAAACACTTGAAGTCCAACAGAATTCCAAAACCGATATCCTTCATATCTTTCCTCTTCTCAGAGTTCAGTTTCACAACTATTTATATGAATTTCGAAATGGAACTTCTGTGGAAACCGGCCTTAATCTTGTATTCTGCCTTCTTCTATACCATTAAAAAACTAATAACATTATCATTCAATTTTCAAGTGTATGCTATATGCAATAAATACAAACAATTCAATTTAACACATTACCTTTTTCCTTCTTTTATTTGCAGCTTTATATCCGGACCTTCGGAACTCCATTTCAAGTTTACTTTTTTGCTCATAATATGAGCCCTTCTCTTCAATGCTCATTATTTTCCATGCATGCGTAGCTTCAGTCTCTATTTGTCTTTTTAGAGACATCTTGATTTTTTCCGTCAATCCATGTGCTTCTCGGTATTTCCTCAGATGTGCCGCTCTGATCAACCATGAATAAACCAAGCATAAGGATTTAAATACATATATATCACAAGTTACTTTTTATGTTCTCTACTCTCAAACTTGGGCAGATCTTCCATTTACGGAAAACAAAAAATTTCATATAACTTTGCAATTTGTTCCTACTTTTTCATGACTTTAGAAGTCTAAATTAATCACCAATTGTAATGAGCAATTCATATAATTATTTAAAGTTGAGAATGATACATATACTAACTGTCCTGCTAACATAACCTAACTCTACTCCTTTATTTTTTGTTATATTTTTTAAAAATTGTAAATTATTCATATACATCACAGGTTTTCTTTTATGTTCTTGCATGTGAAATTAATTTGTTCCTACATTTTAATGACCAATGCATATAATTATTTGAAGTTGGGAATTATGAAAAACTAACTGTCTAACATAATATATTGCATTCCAATGATAACAAAAATGGAACTAAACTGCAAACCAAATTTCAATTACAAAATTAACATTAATACATACATACTTGAACAAAAGGAACACTCCACCTAGACGACGCGGCATACTTTCTTTGCTCTTCGAGGATGTAGTAGTGTTTGCCTTGGGCTCAAATTCTTCTTCTTCATCTACCTCTACCTCTTCAGGTGGCACATAATCAAAATCACTGTCAGAGGCCATTCTAGAACTCTCACCAACCTCACGACTAAATTTCTAAATAGGAGAAGGATTAGAGATGGTTTTCTTCTTTGCAACAGGTATAATTTTCCTTTTCCATTTGTTACGAGTTATAGTCTTCAACCTACCAATTTCAAACCCTAAATTCAATTTCCACCAACAAATTTAATGAACCCAACAAAGCCACAGCAATTAAACTCAGGCAACCTTAATTTCAGACCAACCACGAAAACCCTCACACCCAAGACTCAAACGAAGCAACACAGACCTTCCCTTCTTCTTCGTCTTCCCTTGTTCCCTTCTTCTTTAAATGACGTGGCCATTTCTTCTTTAAGCGATGAAGTGAAAATCAGAAAAATAACAGTCGAAGAAGTCAACTATAACTAAAAACAAATATTAATATTTTTTATACATTACTGAAACACATTCACTTATGCATTTTTCTTAGATATAACAGACAAAGACTATTCATGTACATTGCATGCTACATAGCCACAACATGTTAACTACCAAATATATAATACAATGCATCAGTATTTTGCAATTAAACTGCTGAAACATGTCCAACTGAAGCATTTGTTTCAATCCAAAATAAAAAATAAAAAATAAATATAACTATTACACAATCTGTCAAAGCATGAAGTTTCATTAAGCTACATGTGTACAAATGACAAGATTTTAGACAAGTGTTGTGTATTTGGAGGCTAATTCACTAATATGAAGAGAAATATTGTGAGAGATATTAGCCAAAAATAAATAGTGGATTAATTGACAACGCTATATTTTCTTACTCCCTAAAACAAGCCACTTCAAAACTAACACTACTACTACACAGCAAAATATACGGAGTATATGATATAAACATAGTCTTTTTCTCAAGGAAGGCATATTACATAGGTAATATCACCAAATCAAGGCATACTGGCTCTTCTGGGCAATTTGTTAAGCAGAAAATATGCAAAAAGGAAAATATGTATGCAACATAAGTTAAGTGGAGAGAAATTATATAACCATAAACCAAATTTATACACACTAACTTTATAATCATATACATGTGACAAAATTTAAATATATACAATATCATCACTAAGGAAGAGCAAAGCAAAATATGTTAAAAACTCAACTGCAGTGAAGATAAGCAATTTAATCACTAAAAAGTTACGAAATCAAATACATTTATAATGTCGTATATATGTTAATGTACACATGTGAATGCAAACATTAGGCACCTCATTTACTATGCTCAAAACATTAGGCAGCATTATTAAACTAAAAATGGCTTATTCACACTCACCTAACTAGAGAACTTCAGACTTTTGGAATAGCCACTTACTATTGTTGAAAGCAGGACTCCAAATCAAGAATAAATAACATATGTGCTTTGTGGGTTTTTAGGGCGATCGTTTATGGGGTTCTCTTTAATCACTAAAAAGCAAAAAGGGTGAAAGGGCAAGAGAGAGGTTTCGGTTTTCTTGAATCAAAGAAAGAGTAAGAGAGGTTAGGGTTTTCTTCAATGTAGCGATGGTTCTCTTCGCAGACCCAAGCCTTAGACGCAGAAGAGAGGTTAGGGTTTTCTTCAAAGGAAAATGTTAGGATATAGTTTACAAATACTTTGGGATTTATATTACGAAAATGTGAGGATGTATATTAGGAAAATGTTGTGACTCATTTTATAAAAATATTGGAATGTAGATAAGGAAGATTTGGGATGCTTATTAAGAGAAAGTTGGGATGCAACTTAGGAAAACGTTGCCATGCAAGCACAACGACCAAACATTTTCTTAACATTGTAACACTCTGAAACACTCTTTTTAGGCCACTCATGTACTCTACAAATTCTCTCATTTTTTATCCTCACAAACAAACATTCAAACCCCTAATAACTGCACAATAAAAAAGCCATCAATTCAAATTCACCAATAATTTTCTATTTCTGGGTTTCTTACCAAAAATGTGTTTATATATTCTTACTAATTATATTTGTTTTTGTCATTCAGTTCTTATGGAAATAAAATAATTTCCTTCAAAATCAAATCTGAAAATTATGATTCATACCTGCTTAGGTTTAGCAACCAAATTTTGGGTTCATTCACAGAACAATCGCTGCTTTCGGCTTCTATTTGGAAAGAGAGGTTAGGTTTTTCTTCAATGTAGCGATGGTTCTCTTCATAGACCCAAGCCTTAGACGCAGAAGAAAGCTTAGGGTTTTCTTCAATGTAGTGATAGTTCTCTTCGCAGACCCAAGCCTCAGACGCACAAGAGAGGTTATGGTTTTCTTCAACTACAAAATAGGGCAACAAAGGAGCTTCTTCCTTCTTCGCAGACCCACGCAGACCTTCTTCCTTCTTTCTCTTCTTTGCATTCCTTACAAATTATGTACAGTAAAGGCTAGGGCTAAATGGACAATTCCATACAATAAGTAAGGGCTAAATGGACGATATGCCGTATTAATATAACCTATACGTATTATTACACAAATATACCATATTATTACACACATGTAATACAACTTCAATAGTGTGCAGTTACTTTTTTTTCACCCACTTTTTTAAGCGACGTGGTCATTTCTCCTCCACTCATTCCACAATGGAGGAAATTGCACACTCCACAATGGAGGAAATTGCGCACTGTTGGAAAGGTGGTGATTTTTGGCCAACTTGCACCAAGACAAATAGCAGGGGATTTTGTGCACCAAAAATATAATAGGGGTTTTTTTGGCACTTGAGCCTAAAAAATATAACATACTGTAAATACATAGAGAGAGCTAGTGTGTGTGTGTGTGTGTGTGTGTGTAGTTTAGGAGTAATAAAGAATTGAGAGAGCTTTCTTTTTATTTCTTTTCTTCTCAAAAATGTATTATACAAAACATGAGGTTCACATATATAGCCGGAGAAATACCATAAGCTTCCTTCCTATACAGGTACCGAAATTGAGCTTCCTTGCAAGCAAAATGGGACACCTATACAATTCTTTCCCCTCAAGTAACCAGACTAAAAGAGTCACAAGTTTGAAGGAAACATGCCAGTTTATGTGTGTAAATTTGTAACATATTTTACACGTTTGGGGATAATATGCGAACCCCACTTCTATATATATATATATATATATATATATATAGATAAAGGAAATAAATAGATGCAACACGTGTGAGTATGGTTTCTTCTTTGGCCAAACCATACTCGTGTATATATATACAAACAAGACACCTGTTGACCTGCATGTCACACAAGTGTCAAAGCCATAGCACTATAAAAGGGGGGTTTGGAAGAAGAAAGGAGAAAGAAACAGAGACCTATGTCGGCCAAGAGGAAGAGAAGGAGAGAAATTGCATACAAATGCAAGTTGATTTCGGAATAAAACTTGAATCCTTAGTTCTCTTTATGTACATGTATGGAATATGTATACATAATCCGGTATGTTGAACCTTAATCCTTTGTAGTAATCTGTTTTAGTATGGGTTATATGCCTATTCTACTATACATATACGTGAACAAATTATGATTTGTGCAATACTTGCTAACTTTCTACCTTAGGGGAAATATGTATATACAGACATCAAATGAGTATAATACAATATCTGTAATGTCTAGGCATAAATAAATCAAAAAAAAAAAAACCCTCCACAAAACATGCATAAAACAAAAACATAAGCCAAAACATGCCTAAAGCAAAAACATAGCATAAATAAATCAAACATTCAGAATTCAGACAATATGTTCACCATAAATCAAACCAAAAGATGCAGAATTCAGACAGTAATTGTTTTTGCATAAAGCTAAAATTTCAACGCATAAATAAATCAAACAGACAATAATTTGTTCTTCAAAAGATACATAAAGCAAAAAGTCACTCAGTGCGGCGGTAAAATGATGGGAAAAAGGATGGGATCCTTCTTCCTTCAATCATGCGACCCCTTCGGCCTATGCCCCAGAATCGCATTTGATGATTTCTGGTGAGCTGCTAGAATTTGTTTAGCATGATCGGATTCTTCTTTGGCCGCCTTTCTTTGCTCTTCAGCCACTGTTATAGCCCTCAAATGTGAAAGGATCTGGAGACCTAAGGCAAGCCAGGCTGCAATCAACGTGGCCAAACCAAGGAATGCCATCCCAATCCCTACACAAAAAATTAAAAAGGGTGTATGTTATAATTAGAAGCCAGACAGATTATAGATTATAACAAGTAGAATGGGATACATAACATTGCAAGTTTACAAAAAATTAAAAAGGGCGTATGTATAAATGTACAAGTAGAATGAGATACGTAACACTGTAAAATAATTATCTATAGGGTCTCAACTTATGAAATGTAATTATCTTACCTTAATTACTTAACTTACATGATCTTCTAAAATAACCAGTGGCAACATGACTTCAATATAATTTAATATTACCCTCTGAAAACAGTAAACTGTTTTCACAATTGTCATCTGGATATAAAATCCATTGCAAACTCATATATCTATTTTCAATAATTAGACCTTATAATTATATTTAGGATAAATTGCTCCGACCTCACACAGAGAACAACTGCTCGTGGCTTTGTTTCTTACGTAGGCCGATTCCAACATGTTAATCCATTACCATTCATGGTGCTAACAACCATAACAACACAACCTCCTCACTATAAAACATAAAATTACTGCTAACCTAACTGAAAAAACTTGTGTGGAACTTGTTGCATCGCTTCTTCAGCACACGAGTTGGTTCAGTAACACCCTCCAAAACCCACCGCCACAATAAATCTCGGGTTAAGGAAAGTGGAAAGACAATCCAGATTTGAGGTTAATAAATGAAGAGGATGAACCATTGGGGGTTAAGGGAAGTAAAGAGATAATCGAAGGCCTGGTGATGGTCTAAACAAGACAAACACTGGGTGATGACCAACGCTAACGTCAATGATTCCGGTATGTGCACTGATTTTAATTCAAAGCCATGTTCCCTCTCCTCCTTCTACTCCTTGTAAGAAGGGAGTGAGGGAACTTAAGAACTTGTTTTCTGATGTCAACTATGAAGGGAGAAGTGGCCATAGGAGTAAGAGGAGGATTGGGGGTAGAAGGGGGGAGGGAAAGACAATGTGTACTTATGAAGCTTAAAGTCGTAGCTTGAAATATTTGGGGCCTGACTGAACTGAACAAAAGAAGGGTGGTGTAGGCTCTTATTCGAAAATGGGGGGCACATGCAGCCTGCTTACTCTTCAGATCAAGTTATGAAAAGCCAAGTTAATTGAAAAGCATGTGTGGAGGAAGGTTTGTTGATTGGGAGGTGATTGATGTGGTGGGAACTGCAGGGGGCATTGTGGTGTTATGGGATAAAAAATGGGTATCCAAGGCTGATGTGTGGGAAAGGGAGATTCAAGACTGTATGGGTCGGGAGGGAATGTCGAGAGAGGAGAATTATGGGAGGACTTGGGGTTTGCTAAAGCGAGATGGGATGCCCCGTGGTGTATAGGTCGTGACTTCAATGTTATCCGAATGCCCTACAGGGGGTAGCTGGATGTTGGCCATGACGGACATTTAAGAATTTATTGACATGTGAATTGACCTCCTTCCATAGGGAGAGGTCCAACATGTGGAAAGTGTCAATAAATTCTTAAAATTCCGTCACGGCTAACATCCAGCTACCCCCTGTAGATCTCTTGCTGGGCATTTGGATAACATTGAAGTCACCACCTATACACCACAGGGCATCCCATCTTGCTTTAGCAAACCCGAAGTCCTCCCATAATTATCATCTCTCAACATTCCCTCCCGGCCCATACACTCCTGAAAAGACCCATTGAGAACCATCTTCCTCCAAAGAAAATAACAACGAAAGAGGATCACCCTTTCTGCACATCAGCCTTGGATACCCATCTTTTATCCCATAACACCACAATGCCCCCTGCAGTTCCCACCCCATCAATCACCTCCCAATCAACAAACCTTTATCCCCACAGGTTTTTCATAACTTGATCTGAAGAACTGGGCAGTTTACACTACTGCAAGCAGGCTACATGTGCCCCCCACTTTCAAATAAAAGAGCCTTCAGCACCCTTCTTTTGTTCAGTTCATTCAGACCCCAAACTTTAAGCTTTCAACTTACACATTGTATTTCCCTCCCCACTTCCACCCCCAATCCTCCTCTTACTCCAAGCACCACTTCCCAAGTTTTCAATGCCAGTTTGGGAAAATGAATTCACAGAGCAATTTCTAGCAATTTATGGAATAATATTTAAACTATATCCAACATAATATGCTCCAAACCAGGATTACAGCAATCTTTGAAATTGCTTTTTTGTCCACATAAACCCAAAAAACAAATATTCAATATTAATTATAAAAATTAAATTACCATGAGTAGAATTTGTAGTGGTCGATCTCTCCACTGGGATACCTAAGCAAAATCATATACAACAAAGTTACAAACAAAAACAAACAATCTTAAATTCTAAAGTGTACAGAGAGAGAATGTTAAGATTACCATGATGAACCAACTGTGCCAAAGCATTGACAACTTCCTCGGGCAACTTGCAGCTCTCCCCTTTCAATACTAATGACAAAAAATTAAAAAAGGCGCATGTATAAATGTACAAGTAGAATGGGATACATAACTAAGTAAAATAATTATCTATAGGGTCTCAACTTATGAAATGTAATTCTCTTACCTTAATTACTTAACTTACATGATCTTCTAAAATAACCAGTGGCTGCATGACTTCAATATAATTTAAAATTACCCTCTGAAAACAGTAATTATTCACTGTTTTCACTATTGTCGTCTCGATATACAATCCATTGCAAACTCATATATCTATTTTCAATAATTATACCTTATAATTATATTTAGGATAAATTACTCCGACCTCACACAGAGATCAACCACTCGTGGCTTTGTTTCTTAATGTAGGCCGATTCCAATCTGCTTAATCCATTACCATTCATGGTGGTACTAACAACCATAACAACACAACTGGTAAATCTATAGAATCCTAACTTAATAATTACAATAAAATTTAGTGAAATAACATATAACTATAACAAAAAAAAAAAAAAAAAAAAAAAAATCAATATATATACCTCAAAATTTCAAGACGAATTAACTAATGACAGGGTCCAAGGGCAAGATTAATGTATGTTTGAAAATAAATAAATAAATAAAACAAAGTCAAGAGACAAATTCATGTTCATCTAAACAAAGAATGATGAACTTACAACTAGTTTTTCAACTTGATCCAAAAGACGAGTTGGAGTTTCATTTTCTGAAGGAACAATTTCTTCCTTTCAATTTTTGCAGTGTTCCTGTTGGAGGACCATTGCTGCCCCACAACACCAAGCCCTAGCAGCAGATTCAAAATCCCCAAATCCTTAGCCAACCCTAAAGTACAGAAATAAAAACAATAAGAATTAATGCATCAGATAAAAAAATAGTACAAGTATGATATATATATATATAGAGAGAGAGAGAGAGAGTGAGAAAATTTTCATATATGAGTTAACCATTATGTTTTTATATAAACTATGAGACATGTTAAAAGTCTATAAGAGAAATTAATGATCATTGAAAGGATACTGCTATGATACTGCTAGCCGATACTAGAAAAATAAGACATCATGTACAGAGTGTACGTTGATAGAAAATTTGTAGTGAAGTATTATCTAAATGCTAAATTAGTCTTAAACTGATGCAACTCATTTTCTATACTAGTACTAAAATGCAAGAAGATGAGGTAATTAATAATCAAACAATGCAAAACAGTACGAATTGGAGGCCACAAGTTTATATAGTGAAACTTTGAGTTCGAGCTTTTTTTGCAGTGACAGTACCTAATATCATATCCATAACAGCACTTTGGTTAATATTATGGGTGCTCTTGAAATGATTAAAGAGATTATGGTTAATTTTTGTTTAGCCCTTCTAAAGTAGAAAGTCAAGGGTTCAAGACCCCATAAGGCCAAGTGTGGTGGTGTGATTGTGTTTCTTACCAAGGTACCAAAAAAAGAAAAAAAAAGTGCTGAAAGTAAGGGAGATAACAACTAAACAGAAAATTCTAAAATATCAGGATGGTAATGACAGAAAAGCTTTAAAAAGAAATTCAAGCTTGTAGAACAAAAGATGCATGCCTATACTATTGTACTTGCTATTTTTTTTTTTTTTTTTGTTTTTTGGTGTCAATAAGAACCGATAAGTAATGCTCATAATTTCAATAGAGTGATCAGATTGTAACATAAGCCCTTCTTACTCTATATTTTTGACTTCTTAGAGCATTAGATTGGCTCAAAATTTGACTTGGTAAAGCTACAAAAACCGTCAAAATTTGACTTGGTTAAGCCCTTCATTAGTGCATGTTTCAGACAAATCTAGGACATTAGTCATACAAATTATTTTTGAAATATTTTCAAATACATAAGAAAGAAAACAAATATAATAAAGCACCTTAATTAACAAAATAACAGTCCCAAAAACATACCTACCTTTTTTTCCGATTCCACTCGATTCAGTTATAAAATTAAATTAAAATTGCATAGTCTTTTTTTTCTTTTTCATAGATAAAATTAGGGTTTAGAGAGATGAAAAAGATGAGAGCCCAAGTAGATAAATCATATTACACACCATTGTTTCAGAATTTCAGGAACTGAAAAATAGTGTGTGAAGTGACCAAAGATTCTTGTAACTAAAGGAATTAGACACTAGACTCAATAGTATGTCTTTCAAATTTCCTTTAATTCTGAGTGCTTTGACTTAATTTAAGTGCATCAACATATTATCAACATCATCAGTCGTCATCACTAGAGTCAACGTTGACATCAACATCCTCATAACGTTGACATTAACATCCTCACCTAGAATCGTCATCTAGAATCACGTAATCCTCTTGCATAGATATACATTTGATTAAGATAAACTGAAAAGAGACTTCCTATCATAATTAATCATTTTAAAACCAACATCACTGCTACAACAGTAAGGGTATTTATATAATTCAATTAGCTAAGCAAAAAAAAACATACCTTATTTACTTTTTCCCCTACTCCACTCATTCCCATCAACTCTCTTCTTTTAGAAAAGAGACCTATATTATTAGGACAAAAGAGAAAAAGTTTTAAAGGCGCTAATAAACTTGTAAAACATATATTCTGAAATTGAAAACTAAACTTCCAAGTCTTTAATTCCCATTAATAAATTGATCGAGCATCACATCATAACAATATTATATAATGTATGTAGAAACAAAAACAAAAACAAAAAATCAGTATATAAAACATGAATAAATAAACGTAACCAATAGCTAAAAATGCCAATTAAAATTTTAGAAAAAGTAAGAGTTTGTTACCTGATGACTGAGGAGACATGTTTCTTGAACCTTGTTCTTGCTAAATGTGAAGGCCCGATGCTAACCCTAAAAATAAGAAAACACTCAAGTTGTGTGGAAGAGGTTTCACAATCTCACTCATAACAATTAAAATACCACCATCTAAGTATTATATGTATCATGTATCAAGTATCAACCCAACCAAACTATACTTTCAATCGAAATGTTGGCACCTATCCGTAGAAAGAGGTGTGATTACGGATAGGTGTGATTAGCGCATATTATACTCAACTCTTATGTTAAATTAATCCAATAACAAAGTACAATGCATCAGTTTAGGAATAATCTTCAAAATTAACAAATCAATACCCTGATATTCTGCATTCTAATAACAAAAGAAAATCAAAAACCAAAATTTGAAAATAAAAATATGGCAGAAAGATTGAATATATCCTTTGTGCATTACATAGATTGTATTTCTATGTGAAACAAAACATCCAGGATTTCTCAATGGGTGGGCTAAATCAAAATATATCAACCAAAATCAACTGTTCTTTAATTCAATTTTAGTTAACTAACAATGTTTCTTTAGACAATTGACTGATTAAGGCATAGAAGATCCTATTTTGGGTAATTAATAAAAAAAAATTACCAATTTATTTCTGAACAATTCACCACTCAGTACCCTATCTCTTCTTTTGACCAATTTACTAATCCTATTTGAGAATCTACTAGTGGAAGCAGAGTGTGAGGTAGTTCATGGCAAGCCCCCTTCCAACACTATGGAATTCACTCAAAAGCATGTTTTTTGTAAGTATTTTAATTTTCAAGAAGTAACTTTAGAGCTTTACCCTATATTAAGCACTTTTGCTTGTCAAAGTTCTTGTCATGATTTTTTTTTTTAGTTCTGAAAAGATTTCCATCTTCAAAAAGCTTGGCATGCTGATAAAAATTGTTTCAGATTCAATCTCTGCAGATTTCTAATCCAATTCAGATTCTTCTTTTTTCTTTTTTCATGCCCAGATTCCAATTTTCTTGTAGACTAAATTGACACCAAAAAAAAAATTACAGAAATAGAAGTTATAAAAACAAATATATATATATAGTGATTACCTCAAAATGCAATGCAAATTTTGTTACTTTATATTGTAAAAAAAAAAAAAATTATTTAGAAAAGATCATAAAACATTTCACCAAATAGGATTTAGTTTGCAAAACAAGAATTACAGAGCTTGATGAGTTGATTTAGAAAAAATAAATAAAAACAAAACTCATACATACAAGTTAGCAGTTGCAGAGAGAGGGGGGCAAGCTTGAGGGTTGAGAGCCAGCGGCTGAAGCTTGCAAACGGCGAACCCGAACTGGAACAGCGGGCGATGGAAACTGAAAGATATGGGTTTTGAATTTTTTAAACAATCTGAAATGATATGCCGATATGGGTTTTGAACTTCTGATTCTTGTAGATTTTGTTGTTTGCAGTTGCAGAGAGAGAGAGAGAGAGGGCAAGTTCAGAGTTGAGAACGAGTATAGAGATGGAGGCGATTGGAGAGGCTGGAATGATTTGCCCTAAAAAAATATTGTGATCCCAAAACAAAGAAACCCCAAGGTTCTTAGAGAGATAGAGTGTGTTGAAATGGTCCTCAAAGTTTCAGAGGCTTTATAACAACATTTGACCATACAAGACTATCTCTTTCTCTCTCCTCTTCTCTCTCTCTTGGATACTCTGTGCTTTCTAATTCTGAGTAGCGGACTCGTCCGGTTTTATTACGTTTTACTTTGAGATTCTGGGTCCGTACCCGATATTTTTGGTTGAGAGGCTGACGTCATGGTGTTGACTGGGGTTTTGGCTCTCATGGTCTGAGGGTAAATTTATATGCGGTGGTGGTGTATGTGTTCGCTAGATGAAGACCGTATGATGGGTACGAAGTTGAAGGGGAAGTGTATCCGATGGTTACGAAGGGAAGATGGTATGATGATTCTGGGTAAGACTAACAAAGGCCGAGATTGAATACATCTTAATTTTGAGCATTTTTTATTTTTGAAAATTTGGAGAAACCAAAATGGATTTTAAGCTAAATTCTTGACCGATCCAGAGGTACTTTCTTGACATGCTTTTATATATATATATAATTATTCTTGGTGTGACCAATTAGTTGTAATCAAGAAGTGCATGAATCAAGAGTGATTATGGAGAAATTGATATTTATATTCCAAAATATAAGCATCCCACTCGAAACATCTTTTAAAAATGAACAAAAATCACATTCGTGCCCATGTGTTCGTTCATATATCTATGGTTGCAGAGGTGATGCAAAAGCTATATTAGGGTTAGTGTATTGAAAACAAGAATATTTCTAATTTGGGAACTTGGTTTGTTCAATTTTAGAGAAAGAAGACAATAATCAAACTATTGGGTCAGTTTGATTAAAAAAAAAAAAACTATTGGGTGAGTCAAAATTTGATCTATCAACTGCTCATGCCTTAATTGGCCTTATTTATGTGCTTGAGTCCGTAGAGCTCCGCGAAGTGCCTTGTTGATTTTGAGATAATGAATAAAAAACGTTTGATTGGTTGATGCTACATGCTCTCTTTGAACACTGTAGCGGCCATTCATCCGAAAGAGACGAAGAAAAATACTTTTGGGTGCAACAATCCTCTTTGCTAGATTTAAGCAATCCAGTTATATAGTAATGTTACAGGCTCTTTGCAGCAATTGAGAAGGATGAAGAAAAATTCTTTGTTGACACATAATTTGAGCAATGTTACAGGCTCTTTGCAGCATATAAGGCAGGGTTGGTGTTAACTGTGGTTATAAATTGGGGCTACATGGTGGATCGCTAATGTAGATCTCTGGGTCACCGGCGGCACTAGCGGTGGCAAGTGAGGGGAGAGGGATATACATGCATATATATATATATATATATATATAAAAGAAGCAATAAAGATATACATGGTATCATAATTATATATAAATATTTAGGATATTTTTTGTATTTTATCTAATTCTTTATTATATATAAATATTTAGGATATTTTTTGTCTTTTATCTAATTCTTTATGGGTATTGAGTTCTTGTGACAAATTCAAAGAGTGTTTATGTCATTTTACATGGTATTATAGTCCAGACTTCTTGTGCGGATAGATAACGGTTGAGGCGTGAGTGAAATATGGAACAAACATTGTAATTTTATAGAATTTTCGAAAAATATTTTAATCTAATATTTGGTCAAATCCGAGGGAGTGTCAATGAAATTAACCCTATTCATTAATAACATTATTATTTTTGAAAAAATTATAATTTATATCAAACTTACAAATTTAGATAATAGCATTATTTACTTTTATTGCTTTTATTTTATTAAAAAAAAAATTATTGCTTATGGTAGCTCGGTACCAATTGTTTTTAGGCCTGATGACTATATTATAATTTTTTCTTAGTTTTCATTCAAATGAAAATGTAGAAATTAATGGTTTTTATAAATAAAAAAAAAAAAAATTATTTCCCATATACATGTTAAGATGTTCCCAATACTATTTTTAATTTCTTTAATTTGTTATAAAAAAAATAATTTTATATTATTGTGCTTTACACTCGTTTAAGAGAATGTAAACGATAAAGACAAAATTCATTAAATATCAAAATTTAATAATAGTTTATCCTTTTTAAACCTAGTATATTATAATTTAATGACCTTATATTGATTTCTTTCCATACCGAAACTTTCTTCCAAATAAACTTAAGGGTAAAGTGCACTAAATCCCCCTGAACTATGACCCGATTGCAAGAAATCCCCCTAAAGTAAGTAAAATCCCCCTGAAGTATCATTTTGTTGCAATCGTTAACCAACCGTTAACAAAAAAAGTAAATTACTTTTTAGTCCTTGAGTTGAACAGCACCGTTTTTAAGTTCTATATAATTTCCACTACTGTGGTGGCAAATACAATCTTAGGTCCAATAAAAAGATGATAGCACATCAACCTTTTCTCACTCTTCTTTTCTTTTTCCATTCTAGTTCTTTCTTCTTTACCGCTGCTACCCTTTTTCTTTTTCCAAGCCCAGGAGAGAATCTCACGTGTAGACTGAGGAAGATAATGAAGACGAAGATTGAAAAAGTCAGGAAATAAAGACGACTTGGATGTCTGCGTGCTCTGAACGACGGCAAGCACAGACTATTCGGCGGTGCACTGATGCAAGAGAACTGAAACACACGGCGACAAACTGAAACGCACCAGCGGAACAGATAAAAAAAAATGTAAAAAAATTAAAAACAACATATCCAAACCAAATTGATTGAAGAGAAAACAAAAAACATTCTACTTCTACTCAGTTTAGGTTTCTCAATTCTTCAATTTATGGTTTTGGGCAGTTAATTTAATGCCTAAGGAGAAGAATTTGACAGTGGTTGGAACTATGAAAATGGGTGAAATGTTGGGTTTAGGTTTGGGTTTGGGTTTGAATTTGTATTTGCATTTGCAGGGGCAGAGAGAGAAAGGAGATCGGAGAGATCACCAATTGTGGTGTTGGATTTGTGGCGATATATATATATATTGTGGGTTTTGATTGTGGGTAATGGATCCTGTGGTGGTTGGCAGGGTGGGGATTGTGGTGGTAGTTTGGGGTTAGGATGGTGCTGGTTGGTGGCCGATGGTGGTTGTTCATAGAGAAATGAGAGAGAAAGGCCAAAAATAGGTTATTGGTTTTACAGAGTGAGGGAGGGTGCCGCCGGAGAAGGTGGCGGCGAGGACGATGGGGTCCCCGGCCTCTTGGATCCGGCAGCTGCAGACAAATATGGGCTTCTTCATCGGAAGTGAAGCACCGGCGACATGCCCTTCAACTCCGGTAGCACCGACTCCTTCTTCACCACCGATGTTTCTTGAAGACCGGTATGATACGACTATAATACTACTCCACACTGCTGCCATGGGCGAAGATGGATGAGAGAGAAAGTAAAGGGGGAATGAAGAGGAAGAGATGGAGGGATTCCACGTTCAGCCACGTCAGATTCCATATATATATATATATCATATTTTATTCCTTAACTGTTGTAGGGTTAATTTTGTCTTTTTAAAATTTTGGACCACTCACGTGACATGCATGCCTTCATTTCTGTCAAATTTCTAATGGCAGACTTAACATTTGCAACAAATAAAATAATTCAGGGGGTTAAATGTCTTTCAAATAGTTTAAGGGGGTTTATTGAGAAAGAGAAGAAAGTTTAGGGGGGTTTAGTGCCCTTTACCCTAAACTTAAAACACATACTTAGTTCAAAATTAATTTTTGAATTTAAAATTATAACATCTTTTTGCCTCAGAACATACCAAGAAATATTTAATTTTGCTTTATTTTATATCTATTGATTCCATAAGGTTTATTTATTGATACCATAAGGTGACGAGTAATTCAATTTTCCTTTATATATACAAAGGATGCTCAATATGTATTCTCTCTCAACAAACACTTAACAAGGTGAATCAAGTAGAAAAATTAATCTTTAAAGAGACCGAATATTTACTTGGGCTCTTTAGTAGCCTTCAATTGTTATGGAGTATGTCATTTGTGCATGAATTTGATGCAATGTCTTTCTGTATTGGAATTTTTTTATTATTAATTTTTTTAAGAGAAAATTGCATAAAATCCCTCTTCACTTTTAATTATTGGTAAGAAACTCCCGGAAGAAAAAAGTTGACATAAAATCCCCCAAGTGTCTAATTTATTGAAAATTGATGTTATAATGACACAAATGCCCTTTAAAATAATTTTTAATTTTAAAAATATAACTTTAAGAAATTTTTTAAAAATGCAAACCATTAAAATGAAGTTATAATATGAAAATACCCTTTAATGTAAATTTAAGAAAATTTAGGTGGTTTTAAATGATTTTCATTTTAGTTTTTTGTTTTTATTTTGTTTAAGAAATGAGAAAATTTTAAAAATTACTCCGTTTTTCAAAGTATTTTATTTTCTTATAGACACCACCATTAAAAAAAAAAAGTTTCAAAAATTTTTTAACACCATTATACTAAATGAGGATGAGGATGCACAAAAAGAGAAAAAGATGATGCCTCTAGTTCCCATTGAGGAATTGCAGGTTGGCCAAACTATTGTTTCTGGTGAATCAGCTTCAAATTTAGTTGCGGAGAGTAACGGTACCAGAAATGTAACTCCCAAAGAAGAGAGACCTGATATAGAAAAAGAAAGAAGCCGTCGCGTTTCCATGATAAGTCTGGCCAACGTGATCGAGACCGAAATTAGGAGAGTAATCATACCAGAAATGAGACTAGAACATGGACTGGATAGAGCAAAAACACCAGATAATCAGAACCTTTTGGATGCAAAACAGTTGATTGATATGATAGATTTGGATGATCTCTCCAGCCAGGATTATAAGTAGATGAATATGGATTATAGGCTGGTTTGGAGAATGCAGCATTTACTTGCTCCTGAAGGATCTCAGATGATTGTCCCATCATAGGGCAAGTATCAACAAGATGTGAAGGATTAGCACAGATCGAACACACTTCTTTTGGCAAAGAAGCGTGCTGAGTAGCAACAGGAATATAGCCAAATGATAAGACTTGGTCAAACCTTCAGTTCAACGCTTTTATTTGAGTGGCTAACTTGCTAGAATTTTCCACTTCAAAAATTTTTTCAACCTTATGGATTCCAGGAGTAGACCTAGACCTAGAGGAAGAAGCATGCTACATTGAATTTTCACTTGACGCCTGAAACAGTTCCCAAGCGTCAGCT